GCTTCACAATACCGTTCGAAATTTGTGAAAAAAAATCAAGCATCCCGCAGAAGTTCGCCGAACTTTGGTTGCGTCGCCATTTTTTGCTTCGAAGTGGAGGAACTCTGAATCCAGAAGCTCCATCTAACTCACGACGAGATGCATGTTTTGTTACATTAAGTGCGTGTTTTACACACGATAATCGGTCAAATTTTAGAAATCCTTCGAAATTTTTGCTTCGGTAGGTTGACTGTGCAATGCTTCAACACTAGGTAACCTGCCGAAACAAAAATTTGGAGGGGTCCTCAAAATTTAGCCAACTATCGTGCCCAAGCAGGCACTTTTATGTATCAAAAGATGCCATCGAGTTGAGATGGTGCTTTTGGATTGAAAATTCGTCCATTCCAAAGCAAGTGGTGATGGAACCAAAGCTCGGCGAATTCCGGCGCCATGCTTGATTTTTTCACAGATTACGAGCATTGTATTCCACCATCATTCATTTACGAATTTAGAACAAGAGGTAGAAGATGTGCTGGAAATGGTGGAATTGCACGATATTCGTAGGCGAATCACTGATAATGATGTGGTCATCGATCCTCCTCTGAGATCCAGAGTGAGCGATTTCAAGTTTTCTCGGTCGTTTGATAACCTCGTTCTTTGGGTTTATTTTGGTTCATGTATTGCAATTCCACTATTCATTAAGGTGTGCTTGTTCAGGGTGATCGACGCCGAGTGCGCATTGAAAATGATCTTCAAGAAATGCCTAGCGTGAACAAAACTGTTGCAGTAGTACAGAAAAGGAACGGACTTGAGGTTAATTTCATTTTTTATTTTTATTTTTTTCTTCGTTAGTGTTTTGATAATTCATTCTGCTAGGTGTTTCTATTATTACTAATTATTATTACTTATTATCATTAATATTATCACTGTATACTTCGTCAGGATGATAGCGATGAGGATACAAAGGACAAAATAGTCGAAGTGCAAGATATAGCCATTGTTGAAGAAGCGCCGAACAATGATAGTGAAGTGGAGCTGTCTGTGTATGTTGTTATAACTCTTTACCTCCGCGCAAGTAGGTGCTATACTTTAGCGATGGAAGTCATGTCGGCACTTCTGTGAAGAGAAGGCTTTCTTCTGCAATGTCACGGAAAATGTCAGAGCCGGTCATGACATTGGAAGGACGGAGATTCGGTAAGTAATTCTACAGTTTCCATCTTCTCAATATGATTCTTTTAGTTTATTGAACTACACCATTCTGTCTATGTATCTTATTTTGAGCAAATATCGCTTTTTATTGATACAGACTGTAGAACTGCGTCAAGAACTACCT